CTGTAGAACCGAAGCATTTCGGTCGGTACCATAAAAGAACCGGAGTTCGGTACCCAGCCCTACACACTGGTTAACACACAAAGTTGATCTCTACAGCAGGTTCCCTTTTCTAACGTTTTTGTCCGCAGTAAAACGTTTTGAGTCAGATGCCGATGGTGTCAACAATCACTGCTGCCACCCTCTGGTTAAGTGGAGAACTGCCTGCCACGCCAAATACCCCTATCTCATAATATTAGAGAATCCTTAAAAAAATTCCTGTTTCCAGTTTATGATCTGGATCATCACCATGGTATAATGGATTGCCCCTTTGCGTGAGGGACACCTCTGATAAAAATGTCATTAAAATCCATCCATGACTCTTCAAATTATCCTGTACACAGACAAACAGACAGACAAACAGACAGACAGACAGACTCTCCAAAAAACAACCTCCTTGATGGAGGTAATGAAAGGAAATATCTGTCCTCCAAAAACTGACATTCATCTTTTACTTAAGAGTTATTTTCTGTATATCATTGGAAAAAAGTGACATGGTTATTTACTTTGCATTACAACCATCGACATATTCAGTTAGAATACCAGCTTTTTTTGTTCTTTTCAATGCAAATATTAATTCATAATCTCCAGAGGTGAGGAACAGGTAGACCTGTATCATTTTCCCTCTGATTTACAAATATACAGTTAGCTTCTCTTTGTTGGACTGTCAGATAAATTCCCTATAAAACAATAAAGCCTACAGTTATACAGAGATGAATGAATGCTTCCCTAATGCTTTCCCTGTACAAACTGTCTCTATCTTGTCGCTTTTATAATCCAACTCTTCCCAACACATGAGGTTAAATGCAGTTTATTCCGGTTATCAATTCAACCTTCTGCCATGTCTGATTTAAAGAAGCAGTAGAACAGTTTTCCTCTCTCAGCGCTCCGCAGCAGTGATCATAGTGGTAGCCTACCCAGCCAATTATCAGAAGCCTCTAATTAACTGTGGACTGTCCCCAATGTCCGCTTGTGACCTCCAATAACTCAGCAGCCGACAGCTCCTGTCCTATAATGATGCAAGCCTCACCCACGGCTGTTAGAGAAACATTTTCACACAGTGGGAGCAGCTCCGAGTAAAATCTGAGTCAGAATGAAGTCACCGCTTTGTGCTCACTGCTGTGACCCTGTTTCTGAATTACTGCTGTTTCCTCTGTTTGCCTCATAACTAAGAGGTCAGATCTCAGGGAGTTCACGCTCCATTCAGTTTCAAGTCTGAGAAATAAAGCTGTTTGTTGTTAGTAACCAAGCTAAGTGCTTTTTAAGAAACAGGTTTCTGTTCTGTTTGCACTGCATGCATTCAGAACTTGTGGAAACATGTTGCACAGCAATATGTGTGACCAACAGACGAGCAAATAAAATTATCTTTACCACATCTGTCCTCACACAATGCAATGTCCGTCATTGTACACTCACCTGCTCCTTTATTAGGTACACCTGTCCAACTGCTCGTTAACACTTAA